AAAAAACCAAGATTCTTTCAACCTGCAGAAAAAATAGGAGTTTTTTTTAAAATCCATTTCAAACATCTTAAGTGAAACCAAGCTATGGAAAGGTAAACATATTTTTTGGTAAATGATCCGAAATTCTTATTAGGAGTTAGGAGAAAATCCACAATTTTTAGGTATATTAACATAGGAACATGTTCAGACCACACAGACAACGAAAGCTGAAGGAATTCTCTCGCCATGTCCAAACTTTAGCCTCTCATTGGTTCTTCTTGGGTGGCAAAACAGCTATTATTTCATTGGCCCTCGTTCTGCAGGAGACAATGAAATAGAATCCTGAACAGGCGTATTGCCTGTTAGTGCGGTTACAGAAATCTATCTGCAAAACAGTATTATGACCATTCATTAAAAAAAAAAAAAAAAAATGTAAAGCTCATTTACCTCATCCACCTCAATGTTATTCAAAAAGCTCTTTAAATGGAAAATCACATTTAAAGGGACACTATAGTCACAAAACAACTTTAGTTTAATTAAGCAGTTTTGGTGTATATATCATGCCCCTGCAGTCTCACTGCTCAATTCTCTGCCATTTAGGAGTTATATCACTTTGTTTATGCAGCCCTAGCCACACCTCCCTGCATGTGACTTGCACAGCCTTTTTAAACACTTCCTGTAAAGAGAGATCTAATGTTTACACTTCCTTTATAGCACAATCTGTTTAATTTAGAATGTCATATCTCCTGGTCTGTTAATAACTTGCCAGACCCTGCCTCCTGTGTGTGATTAAAGTTTAATCTACAGAGGAGGAGATAAAAACTTCTAAAGTAACTAAGATCTGAAACCATTGTTTTTATGCAGGCTGTGTAAGCCACAGCAAGCGGAGGTGTGGCTAGACCTGCATTATCAGAAACAAAAGTGAGAATGCACAGGCCTGATCTATACACCAAAACTGCATAATTAAACTAAACTTGTTTTGGTTCCTTTAAGGAACATTCCATACACCAAAACTTCTACAGCACCCACAGCGAAGCTAACTCTCTTGCAAGTAGCAGGGCAAGAGATAGCCTGTGAAAACATTACTAAAGTGTTTGACTACTTATTCAGGGAGGGTGTAAGGACCCACAACAGCGGGCAGCAGTTGTTATAGTGCTTGGACGGTCACCCATAATACTATGAAACCCACAGATATAGATAAACTGCCTAGACACACAAACACATACACCCAGGTATGCAGAACCACTCAACCTCATGTCATTCATTTTGCTGTAGAATTTACATTTTGCCATAACTCCTATAATCTGCAGCCAGAAGGCATGTTATAACAGCCCTCACCTGGGCTCAGAACATGTCTGGCATAATTAGTCAGAACTCCATAATCTGATTAGCTGCAGAGATTTAAAGGACCACTCTAGGCACCCAGACCACTTCAGCTTAATAAAGTGGTCTGGGTGCCAGGTCCTTCTAGGGTTAACCCATTTTTTCATAAACATAGCAGTTTCAGAGAAACTGCTATGTTTATGAATGGGTTAAGCCTTCCCCTATTTCCTCTAGTGGCTGTCTCATTGACAGCCACTAGAGGCGCTTGCGTGCTTCTCACCGTGATTTTCACAGTGAGAGTTACAGTGCCCGCTAGAAGCATTGTAAATGCTTCCTAGTGACAGCGAATGCCTCTGCAGCTCTTGCCGCGCGTGCGCATTCAGCCCAGGAGGAGGAACGGAGGAGGAGAGGAGGCAGAGAGCTCTCCGCCCAGCGCTGGAAAAAGGTAAGTTTTTACCCCTTTCCCATTTCCAGAGCCGGGCGGGAGGGGTTCCCTGAGGGTGGGGGCACCCCCAGGGCACTATAGTGCCAGGAAAACGAGTATGTTTTCCTGGCACTAGAGTGGTCCTTTAAGTTACATTGTAATGTAAGTCTCTTCTCAAATAACCACTGTATGGCTCTATATGTAGATATAGATAGGCTGACAGACAGAAAGAGAGTGTGACAGACAAAATGAGAGAGTCTGACAGAGTGTGACAAACAAAGAGAGAGAGTGTGCCAGACAAAATGAGAGTCTGACAGACAGAGTGTGACAGACAGAATGAGAGAGTGTGACAGACAGAAAGAGAGTGTGACACAGAATGAGAGAGTCTGACAGACAAAATGAAAGAATCTGACAGACAGAAAGAGAGAGTCTGACAGACAGAATGACAGAGTGTGACAGATGGAATGAGAGAGTCTAACATACAAAAAGAGAGAGTGTGACAGACAGAATGAGAGATAGTCTGGCTGCCAAATTCACAGACAAAAACAGAGTCAGGCAGACTTACTGAGAGACAGCCAGGCATAGTAAGAGAGAGAGTGAGAGAAAGACAGGAATACAGAGAGAGAATCAGGTAGGCACACAGATAGCCCTGCTCCTCACATTTAGTACTTAATGCAACCACTGCACTAACTGCATGCTGGCCCTGCACCTCACACCGAATACGTACTGCAACCACTGCACTAATTGCATGCTGGCCCTACACCTCACACCGAATACTCACTGCAACCACTGCACTAACTGCATGCTGGCCCTGTACCTCACACCGAATACTTACTGCAACCACTGCACTAACTGCATGCTGGCCCTGTACCTCACACCGAATACTTACTGCAACCACTGCACTAACTGCATGCTGGCCCTGCACCTCACATTGAATACTTACTGCAACCACTGCACTAACTGCATGCTGGCCCTGCACCTCACACCGAATACTTACTGCAACCACTGCACTAACTGCATGCTGGCCCTGCACTTACATCTAATGTGCTAATGCAACCACTGCACTAACTGCATGCTGGGCTTGCACTTCACATCTAATGCTTACTGCAACCACTGCACTACTCGTACGCTGGCCTTGCACCCTCGCCAATCAACACGCATTTCGCAACCACTGCACTAACTGCATGCTGGCCCTGCACCTCTACATCAAATGCTTACTGAAAACCACTGCACTAACTGCATGCTGGCCCTGCAGCTCACACCTAATGCTTACTGCAACCACTGCACCACTGCATGCTGGCCCTTCAGCTCACACCAAATGCTTACTGCAACCACGCCAATTGCATGTGCTCACTCTGCAGCCCACACCATGCTGCAGCTCACACCGAATGCTTACTGCAACCACTGCACTAACTGCATGCTGGCCCTGCAGCTCACACCAAATGCTTACTGCAACCACTGCACTAATTGCATGCTGGCCCTGCAGCCCACACCAAATGCTTACTGCAACCACTGCACTAACTGTATGCTGGGCCTGCACCTCACATCGAATACTTACTGCAACTACTGCACTAACTGCATGCTGGCCCTGCACCTCACACCGAATGCTTACTGCAACCACTGCACTAACTGCATGCTGGCCCTGCACCTCGCACCGAATGCTTACTGCAACCACTGCACTAACTTCATGCTGGCCCTGCACCTCACACCGAATACTTACTGCAACCACTGCACTAACTCCATGCTCGGCCTGCACCTCACATCGAATACTTACTGCAACCCCTGCACTAACTGCATGCTCTCCCTGCACCTCACACCGAATACTTACTGCAACCACTGTACTAACTTTATGCTGGTCCTGCACCTCACACTTGCTGCAAACACTGCGCTAACTGCACAAAGGCTTCACTCCTTTTTAACTAGAGCACTAACTGCATTAAAAAAAACAAATAATAGGCCCAGACCTTGTGCTTTGTCAGGGGCCACAAAATTTCTGGTGGTGGCCCTGGTCAGTACTCTTCGCAGCCACGTCCTAAAGAGAGCATCTCAGATGGCACATGTCTCACTACCCCCTATTCCAACCTGCCCCCCCATTGAAATCAGGAATCTCAAACTCCACCCATTCACTAAAGCAGCCAATTAAATCACTCGAACTCGAAGCCATGTTTGAATTTTTGTATCCACCTGGATCTTCAGCCCTAACATAGCAAGGCCTTTCACCCCCAGGGCCGGATTAACATAGGGGCTGAGGGAGCTTTTTTTTTTTTCTTTTTTTACACACTACTCTTAGGTTTGCCACCTGACTGGTATTTTAATGGCACAGACGGTATTTGAGGCTGCCTGGCCCTGCCGGTATTGCAGTAATACCAGCAATACAAATGCAGGTCATTTTCTCAGAATAAATGGAAATTACTCTGCAATACCAGCACCGGCCAGTAGGGGTCACTGTGTGTGGAGAGAGGCAGGGATAGGAAGTTACAGCATATCCCTCCCTGTCTCTCTCTACTCACTGATCCGTGGGGGAGCAGCTATACAGCACAGAGAGTCCAGACAGCAGCTCTACAGCTCAGGTAAGTGAGGGATGGGGGGAAAGGCAGCAGGGACATATGGGGACACTGAGACACTAGGGGACATATGGGGACACATGGGGACACTGAGACACTGAGACACTAGGGGACACTGAGACACTAGGGGACACATGGGGTCACAGACACTAGGGGACACTGAGACACTAAGGGACACATGGGGACACTGAGACACTAGGGGACACATACACTAGGGGACACTGAGACACTAGGACACAGACACTGGGAGACCTGGGAACACTGAGACACTTGGGGACACTGGAAAACATGGGGACACTGAGACACTTGGGGACACTGGAAAACATGGGGACACTGAGACACTAGGGGACACAGACACTAGGGGACACAGACACTAGGGGACACATGGGGACACTGTCACTAGGGGACACTGAGACACTAGGACACATGGGGACACAGACACTGGGAGACCTGAGGACACTGAGACACTAGGGGACACTGAGACACTAGGGGACGCTGAGACACTAGGGGACGCTGAGACACATGGGGACGCTGTGAGACATAGGGACATTGGGAGACATTGGGACACTGGAGACACTATGTCCCCCAGCCAGTGTCCCTAGTGTCTGTGTCCCCAAGTCTCCCCAGTGTCTGTGTCCCATGTCTCTCAGTGTGCCTAGTGTCCCCATGTGTCCCAGTGTCCCCATGTCTATGTCCACAACTGTCCCCATGTCTCCCCAAGTGTCTGTCTCCCAGCCAGTGTCCCCTAGTCTCCCAGTATCCCCTAGTCTCCCAGTGTCCCCTAGTCTCCCAGTGTCTGTGTCCCTAGTGTCTTAGTGTCCCCAAATGTTTCAATGTCTCCATGTCTCCCAGTGTGTGCCTGGTGTCCCCATGTCTCCCAGTGTCCCTATATGTCCCAGTGTCCACATGTCTATGTCCACAACTGTCCCCATGTCTCCCAGTGTCCCCAAGTGTCTGTCTCCCAGCCAGTGTCCCCTAGTCTCCCAGTGTCTGTGTTTCCATGTCTGTGTCCCTAGTGTCTTAGTGTCCCCAAATGTTTCAGTGTCCCCATGTCTCCCAGTGTCTGTGTCCCTAGTGTCTCAGTGTCCCCAATTCTCCCAGTTTCCCTAAATGTCTCAGTGTTCCCGGGTCTCAGTGTCCCTGGGTCTCTCAGTGTCCCCAGTATCGTAGTGACATGGGGACACACTGAGACATTGGGACACTGGGAGAAATGGGGACACAGACACTGGGAGACTAGGGGACTGGGCAACATGGGGACACTGACACTGTGATACATAGGGACACTGAGACACTGGGTGACTTGTGAGACTGAGACACTGGGAGCAATCCATCTATACAGCAGAATCAAACTGTGAGTAGTTTGGAGATTTTACAGCATTTTCTCTGATGTCACTCCTTGTGATTTACATCATGTCACGCATAACTCATTCATTATACAAATTATTAAGGCTGGTATTTTTTTCCAAGAAAGGTGGCAACCTTAACTACTCTTCACATACTCTTGCTTAAAGGAGCACTATAGGGTCAGGAACACAATCATGTATTTCTGACCCTATTATGTTAAAACCACCACCCTGGCCCCTTCTTGCCTCCCTAAATATAGTAAAATATTACTTGTATTCAATTCTGCAGCTGCTGGCTCAGAAGTGGTGGTCTGAGCAAATTACAATACTTCCCCATAGGATTGGCTGAGACTGTCAACTAGGCAGATCAGGGGCAGAGCCAGCACAAGTCCAACATAGCCCTGGCCAATCAGCATCTCCTCATAAAGATAAATTGAATCAATGCATCTCTATGAGGTACGTTCAGTGTCTGCATGCAGAGGGTAGAGACACTGAATGGCAGTGCTGCACACTAGGCAGTACTGCCCCAGGAAGCACCTCTAGCAGCCATCTAAGGAGCAGCCAGTGGAGTTATTTTCTCTGAAAAGACAGTGTTTACTGCAAAAAGCCTGAATGGAATGATTCTACTTACCAGAACAAATACAATAAGCTGTAGTTGTTCTGGTGACTATAGTGTCCCTTTAAGTTTGGAAGCTTAAGAGGGATGTATGGGAACAAAACTTGTGTGCACTGGCTGACATTAAAGTTAGTTTAGGTAATGCAGACGTTGGTCTCTCTAACACTGTGGCATGTCCCCTTTCTTCTACACTCACTACAGACATCTTTTCTCTGTCTCAGACTATATACCAGGAGCTTCTGCCTGCTAGTAAGAAGGTAAGGAGACAAGTGGACCAGCGAGTGCTAGGGGACAGTCCTTAGAAAGAATGGAGTGAGCGCATCATTAGACGCATTTATGTCAAGCTCAAGGTGCTGCCTGCATAGTATGCCCTTAGTTGGACAGCCTGCAAGATTGGCAGGCAGCCTGACATGCATTCATGCCAGGCTGACCTTCCAATTCTTTGGACAAACATGCCCCTTTTTGGGCATGTTCACCCCTTTTGGCAAGTCTTGTCACGTGATTCGCGCCAGTGGCACACCCTTTTACCCCGCCCATTGACTTCCTGCTTCACTGGACACTGCTGTTAGGGGGTATGGATTTACTTGAAAGATGAAAGCATAAATTAGATAAAGAGATTAGCATAGAGTATGTGTTTTCTTATAGCTGCATCCTATGAGTTTCCCTCCAGCACCATCTCCATCAGATACATGACGCTTGGGAGATATGATTGTTTTAGTGTTTTTCGTCGATAAGATTCTGTAATTAGGCCCATCATAATTGTCAGCTCCAGGCCCACTGTGCTCTTAATCTGGCCCTGTTCACCCTTCCCCCCCCATGGCAGCCCTAATTGGAAGACTTAATTCTTTCTCGGAGGAACTAAAGGGAAGTATTCTGTAAAACTTTTAAATGTACCTGATTTTACTTATCAAGATGGTCACGGCTGTTTATTAACGTGTAAATTTTACAAAATCTAAATGTTTAGTTTGTCAGGTTAACAGCTAGCAGGGTGTAAGGTTAACCTATAAAAGTCCCAATTTGTGTTGAAATCTGCCCTTTTTGTAAAATGAATTTCATCAAGCTAAATTGTCTTCGCGGTCGAGACATTGACTTCTGCTGATATGAATTTCAACAGGGTCGCACGTAAGTCTATATTATCAGGAACGTGACTTTCAAATTTTATGTCAAGCTAGATGAATTAGGAAAAAAACAAAACAATCTGCTATTTTTGGTGGAGCTATTTCGGCCTAAATTTTGAAATTCATTTTAAATTATGCTGAAATATATCTTGTTCAGTTGCATTGTTCAATGGAAAGATGTCAAAGTTTCTATCTTATAAGGTGTGACTGTCACTTTAAAAATATATACACAGATCCTGCTAAAGGCTGTTTCCTAAGGCACTGTTAAATGATTATTCAGGTGCCCACATCCTTTAACATTTAAAGGAACAATGGTAAATATTGGAAAAGGCAGAGAATGCAATTATTTGGCCAAGCCAAGCCATACAACTCCTTTACATTTATAGTGTGTCACTGTCACCTTTAACGTTGCATTATAACTAATTAGCACACAAACAATAGTCAGCTAGTGCTGCCAATACAATGTGTTGCTCTCAGCGTGTGGTAATAAGGGTAAACGTAGGTCAGCATGGAATGTAAATGCCCACACACTGTGGCAATATTTGCAGTGGAGATTATGGATTCCATCAAAACGGAAATATCTGGTGTATTTATATTGGTAGCACAAGGTGTAAATCCAACACGGCTGCAAGGCCTAGTGATCCATCAGCTGTGTAAGCAGTCAGCAGACAAATGGTTAAAACACCTCAGTGGTCTGAGGGTTAAAACCATTAGCCAGCCTGCACAGCTATTATATAACTCAACATGAGGATCAATATAACTCCCATATAACTAGTCCTTTCTAACTACAGAGTGGTTGAGTGGCCAGTGGCTGCTTAATGGTCTATTCCCCCATCCCCTGAGTGGTGGGATGGGGAAATAACAAAATAAGGGTGTTGGGGGGTGCTATGTTTCTATTAATATTTGATACCCTACTAACTGCAACATCTGAGGATAGGGATTTAGGAGTAATTATTTCATATGACTTAAAGGGACACTCCAAGCACCCAGACCACTTCTGCCCATTGGAGTGGTCTGGGTGCCAACTCCCACTACCCTTAACCCTACAAGTGTAATTATTGCAGTTTTCATAAACTGCAATATTTACCTTGCAGGGTTAACTCCTCCTCTAGTGGCTGTCTACTAAACAGCCACTAGAGGGCACTTCCGTGCGTACCTCCAGCGTCGCTGAAATCCCCATAGGAAAGCATTGGAAGC